TAGAGGAAGATTGTTATCACTGCCCCCTCCTGCCCACCTAAGTCATTTTTTTTAACCCCCTGGGCCTAACCTTTTCCCTAGTTGCTCCTGGGTGAATTCATCAGACCCTTCTGACTTGAGCACAGTAGTTCACAACTTTGCCAATACCAAAACTGGGGACCTTCAGTGTGCAAGTTTATGCAGCTTGCACTAATGAGGAAGCCTGTGGCAGATTTACACAGTATATGAATTAGGCTCTCAGGGAGACATACAGCATGCTCCAGCCAGTGGGTTACTCAACCATTGAACAAAACGCTCATCCTGAGCATTAGTGGTACACAGCAGTTCCAGTGGACTATCTAGCTCCAATTTACATGCAAGCCATTATTTTGTCTGACAACAAGGACTGAACTGGGCACGTCTGGAGCAAAAAGCACAAGGCAGTATAGTTTAACTTAAGCAGTCAGATACCATAGCTGAGGGTTGTAAAAGACTCATGTCTTCTTTAACTACGCGTTGAAGGGATACGTAACACATACTACCCTACATGTTACACTAAATATCATTATTAATTAATGCTCTGCCAGTGGTCACAAATGTTTCAGCATGCTTAAAATCAATATTTAGACCAAAATCAATGAAACACATTAAAAAAGAAGAACCAAAAAAACAAGAGCTTTTCCCATTTCCTCTTGATGGACAATAACATTGCTTTCAAAGTCATTCATTTTTATTAATATCGTGCTAGTGCCAACTAGCTGAGGGGGGACCTGGTGACCTGGGGGACCTGGTGACCTGGAGGACCTGGCTGAGGGGGGACCTGGTGACCGTCTATAAACTCACTAGGGGGAACCAGAAGGGTTTGGGGGAGACGCTGTTTCCCCCAGCCCCCGCTGGCATAACAAGGAGTAATGGGCACAAGTTGATGGAGAGGAGGTACAGATTGGACATCCGAAAAAATTACTTCACAGTTAGGGCGGCTAGGAGCTGGAATCAACTTCCAAGGGAGGTGGTGCAGGCCCCTACCCTGGGGGTCTTTAAGAAGAGGCTGGATGCCTACCTGGCTGGACTCATTGAGTCCCGTTTTTGTTTTTAGGGTTTTTTGTTGTTCTCCCGCCCTGGCGGGGGGTCGGGCTAGAAGATCTATTAGGTCCCTTCCGACCCTAAAACTATGAAACTATGAAACTTTTCAACCCTTTTTAAAACTGTCTTAATTCAGGTGCACGGTGAAGCATACAGAGGGATAAGATTCATATGGCATACTATTTCACTATAAAATATTTCCCGCAAGCATTTTAAACCTTCAGGTAGTACTTACGAGATTATGAGGAATCTTGGAATTGAATAGTATCTAATCTGAAGGACATTTCTGTTCTGCCAGAATAACATAACTTTAAAGGATATTTCATTTTTATGTGGTGTTTGTGAATAAATACTCCAATAATACTTGGCATTTTGTGTTTCCCTAAAGCTCACAATATATATTTTTAGAGATGAAAGCAGCAACTGAATATAGAGCAGAGCTGCTGCTTCTCATGAACTGAAGTTTTTTCTCTATTGTAGTCCAAGCTTTTGGGCTCGGACTGCCTTTTCATTCTGTTTGTACAGTACCAAGCACAATGGTTTCCTGGACCATGACTAGGACTCCTAAGCGGTATGGTAAGAGCATGTGTTAATAAAGATCACAAATGTGAAGAATGGTTTCTTTTGGAGACAATGAACACGACTTCAAAAGTTCTGACTTATCTCACTGGGATTTTTCACTTGCAGGGGAACAAAGGTTACCAAGTACTCAGCGCTTTTTGAAAATCCTCCCCTGAATGGTTTGAGATATTTGAAACAATGCACATCAAACTGCATTTTAAACAGAGACTCTGAAAGACAAAAACATAGGACCCTGTTTAAAGCTGAAGGAAGGATGCCTCAATTATAGTAGCACAGTGTGTTACAAATTAACCAGATAACTTGAATGTCCAGATGGGCATAAGAGGCCCATTATCTACTTGCAGAAAAGTGAAAATAAATGAGCTTTAATTGTGCAATATCCAAGCTGAGTTTGTCAAAGATGCCTAGGGGACTTGTACAACCAAATGTTAGCCATAGTATACTCACACATTTAATTATGACAAAATTCTTATAATAATAGGTTACTTAGCTAACTCCATTAAAGTTGTATTTTACCTTTGTAAACATTCACAGCAGAATTCTGTTTCCCTTTGTGCACCTAAATGGCAACTTTTGGACTACATAAGGGGGCAGTTATGGTACCTACATGCAAGTTGCAACAAGCATGCACACGCAGACTATGCACAGTAGGCCATGCACCAGCTAAATGGTACACAGCTCCATGTATGTGCCCTTCTAGAGGTATATGTACATTTTACAAAAAAGTAGTCAGCCCAAAATCTAGGACTAATGGGTGGACATCAGAGGAGGAGGAGGAAAAGGAGACAACCTTCCCATGTTTTAGCCCCAATCACTGAATGATTAGAGAACTCACCCAGGATAACAGTCCCAGGGTCTAGACCTCTCTTACTGGGTAAGGGAATCCTACAACTTGGGTTTCCCATTTCCTGAGCAAGTGGTCTAACCACTCAGCTATTGGGTGTAAAATACAGGAGGATCCTCCTCTTCACCTGCCTCCTACATGCAGTCTCAGGTGCATGCAAACATAGCTACGTACATACTGGGCCAAGTGTCTGGCTTACATATCCACAGTGCAAAAGCAAGTATCAGAAATAGTGAGGTACACCGCTAGACAATGTCCATTTAGCCAAACAAAAGCAAACAGAATTGAACCCAAAGCAGAAACACAACCCAAAGCAGCTTCTGACTGGTATAGCACTACCTTTGAGCAAGCATTTTGTAGTTACGGAAGTATTACAGGTTGAGTGAAAAACGGGGGGAAAAAAAACAAGCGAGTTTTCTGGGGCATTTTACTAAAAGTTCAGATGTATGGAGAGAAATCCTGTTCTTACTGAAGCCACTTGGGGTTTTACCAGTGACTTTAAGAAAGCCAGGATTTAATGGATAGTCAGTTTACTTATTAGTTGTTATGCTATCCTGACACATCTATAATTATAGAGCATAATAGGGTAATATAAGGACTGAACAAGTTCTACAACACTCACACAGCAATATATTATTCAAGTTACACCCTCTCTTAAAAGTCCTTTACTGCTGTGAATCAAAGTGGCTAGTCTCTGGGTATGTCTACATGGCAAAATATATGCCATGTAATAGCTCAAGCTACCTCTAAAAGCTAGCTGTTAGTGCAGCTATGTTAATGCAGTTCTCCACCTGAGCTGATATACCCTCTTTCTCACCAACACAGTTATATCTGCTTCTGATACCCCGGCTAGCTCTTTCAGAGTTAGCTTGAGTGTCTTTACACAGACATACTTATCGTAGAATGAATGAGTCTACATCCCCAGCTAGCTAAATAACACTTAAATACGCTCATTCCTATTGAGAAGAAATGAAGGGAATACATTCATCAAGAACTTTTTAAGATATAATTTTCCAAATTAATGTTACGAGGCTTCTCAGAAGTTGATAAGCCTCTCAGCTACCAAACTCTCACCTGCCAAGTCAAATACTTTGTCACTGTAATTCCAACATGCCAAAACCAGTTGGGAAACCAGTACTGCAGGAAGTAAAGGGAAGATAGCGGTCACAAAACTGGGCTTAAAATGCTAGGCAGTCAAAAACTTAACTCTAGATGTGCCATGCTGATTGTATAAGGCTTGGATTTCACTCACTACTAAAATGTAGTGGAACAAGGCAATTGTACAATGCTACCAAACCAATCTTATTCTGTAAAGCATGTTCTTCGGCCATTGGCAGCAAGTGGGTGCATGCTTTGTTGAACTGGGGTATTGGTTGGCAAATTATATCCTCATAAGCAGTTGGTATGTATGATTGTAAAAGACTCGCTCAGTATTTATTTGAAAAACATTCTTCAAGTGCATTGCATACATGATTTCACAGACATTATTCAAAGAGAGAGAGAGATTCTGGGACCAGAAGACACCGTTGTAATCCAGTAGGTCTCCTGCACAGCACTGCCCAGAGACCCTTTAGCACCAAACCCATAAGCACTCTTTGAGCTACAGCCTTTTTAAAAGTGAAGGATTCATCATATCCCTAAGTGTCTCCAACCTTTAATACCTCTTATTATTAAAACTATGTGTTATTTATCATTTGAATTTGACTATTTTAATCTTCTAGCCACTGCATCTTGTTAAACCTTTGCTTTGTAGGCTGAAGAGTCCTCGGCACTTAGAAAACTTCTCTGTATGGATAGATTATCATACCATTAATAAGTGACATCTTAACCTTCTTTTTTATATGCTAAACATATTGAGTTTGCTTAGTTTCTCCCAGCAAAATAGTTTTTTCCACACCTCCATAGCGTTCTACCTCTCTTTTTCCAGCTAACATGCACGTAACCCAAAAGCAGAGTTTGCTGAACAGGCCTTTTTTGCTTTCATAAGGGTTTGCAAACTAGCTCTGATTTCTGCAGAAGTGCAGGGAAACCTAGGACACGTGTGTCAGAGCCAAGCATCCAATCCATGGAACAGGACTGCCTAATTATCGTCAAACCGTCATTTCACCCGAACCTCTTTCAATTGGAAATGGTTTGTGATCCAAAAAGAGAGATTCTCCAGCCACATGCAGAGGAAGGCAAAGGGCAAATAAATCAAAGATTACTGGCCAGCTTCTTGATTCTGCAGCAGGCTGCTCTCTGCAGCAAATCTGCGTGTCAGTACTTTCTCTTCTTTCAGACTTCACTGATACTGCAGCAGCCACAAGGAAATTCCTATTTGCATTTCCACTGAGAGCAGACAATTTCACCTGCTTGTTGTCCTTGAATAGTTTATATTTATATTTCTTACCATACTCAATCCAGACAACATGGCATCAGCCAAAAAAAAACCCCAACCCCCCCACACACATACAAACAAAACCAGAAATCTGCCATATAATAAGGAAGGAGACAATGCAAATAAACTGTGGGGGGAAATAAAGTTCTCTGTTGCACAGATCTCTCTGGAGTGGAAGGTCAGAGGATCGGATTCAAATAAGCACTTTAGACCCCTGCTTAGTTCACTCTCTCAGGTTAAAAGGGTGTTGTCAGGGGACCTATGGACATACTTAAAGTTTAGTAAATGCTAACATGCTTGTGCCAAATAGAGATTCCCTTACAAAGTATGCATGTGCTTTACTGGTTTCCAGAATCAGGAGCTGGAAGATGTGATTGTACTGCTTTCTCTGGCACATATTTGTGTCTGAATTCATGTGTGTTACACATCAGTCTCCGTCAAAAGTTCACAATTTCCTCTGCTTTCCACATCTGAGACTGCATACAACAGTATGCCCTGGGTTTACAAAAGACAGTTACTTTAGAAACTCGCAGTCTTTTTGAGCATAGCCTTTTCCCCTCCCAAACCTCCCATCACTTCTATGCCCCGTGGAGCTACCTCAGTGGTAGGAACAGTGAGATCCTCAGTATAGACAAGGTGTTAGAAGTTGCTCATGTTTTAAGCATTATGATCAGGGTGACATGGAGGATCCCAAAGCACTTCCCAAACTGTAGGAAACACAGAAAGCAACCAAGGAAGGAAAAAGGTAAAATATTTCAATAAACATAGCTTAGGCAATAGAGAAAAGTCCATAGACTTGAAGGACATAAGTGCCAGGATAGGATGGGAGGACACGGAGAAAGACTGAAGACAGCGATCCTGGCAGCAAATGTGTGTCTCCCAGAAAAAGCCCAAGGAGCTCTGGGATGCAGGAGGAAGGCTTAAACACTGACAATTGTAATTTCAAAAAGCTTTGCGTCAGGTTTGGTTTCTCCCTTCATTGTTGCCACCTAAACCTTGCCTCCTCTTTCCAGCCACATACTTAACCTGTTTCTAAATTCCTTCAATAAAATATAGCACCGGTTGTGCTTCCATGTTGCTTACATAGGTATTCTACCAGCTCCTTTCATGGCGATGGGGCCTTCCATCCTGAAGAACCTACACGCACCTTAGAAGAGATGGGTGGGGTTTTTGAAAGAGCTCACCAATGCCACTCCTGGATCCACTGATGCCAATGCAAGCTTTACCCGTGGGCTCAACAGGAGTAAAGTCACGCCAGCACCATGCCCTTCTAAAAATCCCACCATCTGTGCATTAAGCGACGATGCATCTGTTTCTGGGGTGGAAGGTGATGGCCTGCTAGACCTCTGAAGCACAAGATGTTGTGCACCACATTGGAAGGGAGGGGAATTTGGGCTCAGAGAGGCACTCCTCTAAAGCCCTATTCTTACTAGCAGGCCATAGACCCAAGTGCTAAAGGAGACTGAAGCTAAAAGTCTTCAACAAAAGACTCAGCTGCAGGGAATCAGTTCATCTGCTTTAGTAGATACACTGGTTGAATCAAATCTGCCAGTATTTCAGTGGCAGGACAGCTCTCAGGTGTTAAACCACCATCAACACTTTTCCCTTGAAGTGAATTAGTATTTCTTTCTTTAACACCTCAAACTCCCACCCCCCATCTGTGTTACTCCAAACGAGAGGAAATTCAAACTGCAAAGAAAGCCGAGGTGCTCTGAAGGCAATCGCATTCACAAGTAATCAGAATCTCCCCTGTACCGCAGCCTTAAATGCAATTACTTGTTTTTACCTGTAAGGCTCTCCCTATCTGATCTAGTAACCTCTCAATGCCACTAATCCCCACTTTTCACTGCACCAGCAAATCAGTTTTTACCGCCCACCAGTTAGCTTCTTTCCTCCAATACCTCTGCACTCTCCCACATGCTGCAGAGGAAAAACACCCTCTTTAAATCCAAATAGCCGCTGCTGTCTCTTCTTTCCGATCTCATCCTGAGATCAGCCTCTGCTGTGATGCCAGCAAATAGCAGCCTGCTGATCATGACAAATTGCAATTAGCCTGCTTTCCCTTCTTTTTCCTAATGTTTCTACTCTCATCTACGTGAATTGAAAAAGGAACGCTGCGATCCATGTGACTAAGAAAGCGTTGCTAATTCATCATCATATTCCTTTTCCTGTCTCCTACACTTTGTTTTATCCTTTTATTTTGGAAGGGACAGGTGATGTCTCTCAGCTGTGTTTCTCTGGTGCATAGACAATGAGGTCCTGTCTTAATATACATATTGACTATTAATAGCATCTCTCAGCAGGGCAATACAATAGAAAAAGTGAATATACCAGCCAGTACAGCCATGCTAATCACACTCTATCTTCCAGGTTCAGCTCACTTCAGCGTTTTTTGGGATACTTTTTAAAGGATTTTTTTTTTTAAACCTGCTCTTTTGCTTGCAGCTGTCACATCCTATTCCCAAGACACCCCTTCGGAAACCGCACTCCCTACCTGAACAGTCTCCTAGGAATACAAAGTTATCAGAAAGGGGTGCTGGCAGATGAAGGGAAAACGCCATCCAAAGATCTTTACAAAAAGAACATTGTACTTCTGCTGGCACGAGTGTATTACGGACAAAAAAGTTGATATTTGGCACTCTCCTGCTGACTCTGATTTGCTGCATTTGACTATGCTGCTGTTTGCTTCACAGCAACTCGTGGGATGCCTCTGGCTAAAACATTGCCTGTAACCTAAATTTCTATTTTATTAACCTTCTTCTTTATCTAATGACATTCTGTCATGTTCCAGGATGCCAGAACAATGTTTGCCTGATAAGATGTCTCATGGGAAAACAGGCAGTTCTAGGAGATGAAAGCATGCAAAAACAGCCAGCTTCAGCTAAAAAGCTGTTTCGTATACCTGACTCCATTAATGTATGGTCTCCCCTCTGCTTGTACTGCAGATGTCATTATTTTCCTTTTATTACAAAAGGAACTCCCAGGGAAACAGGCCCTTTTCTTTGTCTTCCTAATTGATACTAATAAGGGGTTCACCGCAGAGGAGGAGGGAAGGTAGACTGAGCCTAAAGTTATTGAACAGACTCCTGCGGGGGCTCCCTTCTTTCATTTGGGTAGCAGACATACCGTGCAATAATGCTTGGGTATCAGAACTTAGTGATTAATGATCGGTCTTCATTTTACACTTTTAATATGAATAGGAAGATCTATAGCTTTAATATCAAGCCCCCCTCGCCACGGTTTCGTTTCTTGTATTTTCTCCTTACCTTTCCTTCCTTATTCTTTTTCAGCTTTCCGCAGAATAGGAATTATTTATGCAGTCTACGCTTTCCCCTCGTCTACTACCAACCACCTTCCAATTTTGTGTGTTAGACACCTTCCTGCCAAACAAAATTATGTAGCCAATCAATAGACTTTCTGAGGAGAGCGTTTGGAGAGACAGGTGTAAATTGCAATGAAGATTTCATCCATTTCAATTTTGACGGGCTCCATTACAGGAATTGGGCCACATTTTGCTCACAGCCTCACACACAGAACACTAGCCCATCTTCCTCTGGGAGCTCATATACTGTAGATTTCCCCATGGCTGATTCAATCAACACAGGAACACACCTTTATGCAATAAAGGATTCATCCATCTTACATCTGTGTATATAAGGCTATTTCCAATAGTGATTGAGCACTTTTCACGGCTTAAAATACACCAGTGTTCAATCTCTTTTTAATTATCTGCTATCCAGTGGTTGCACAGTAATTCCTAGCGATACGACTGGTCTGTGGCATACGGTAGTCATGGTAGTGGCAAGGTGTCTGCCCATGGAAGACACTGAAAGGATTTACTTGTTGGTGACTTGCCTCTTTGTCTTTTGCTTTTATAACCTGGTGTCAGGGATGTTATGGGTTTAGCAAACTTAATTGTTTCAGAGCAAAGTCTTTTGTCCATGAATGTTAACCAAGAGTACATTCATCTACTGTACACAGTAAACACAGGAGCTTTCATCCCAGACATTGATTAATTTTTATCCTTACAACAAACGGCCTTCCATGGTGGCTCAGCGCATGTCCTACCCTTTCAGTGAAGGGAAGAAAGTCCTTTTCATTTACTTTTTTTTAAATCAATAGATGCTGTACGCTGCTGAACAGAAACACTGCAGGCATGCTGCACAGGATCAGTCCTACACGTGGCGCCTGTTATGGTAAGCACTAATGGATCCATGTAACAGGATCACACAGATTGCCTACAATCTCCGTGAGGCTACAGCAACCATCGTTACCCTGCCTGTTGGACATCACCCTTTATTTCTAAGACAAATGGTTTTTATTCTTAGCACCAACTATTCCCCCAACAATAGGACTTCCTAGTAGGGCTTTAAACAAATTAAGTTGAATATTAGATCATTTTCTCAACCCAGCTACATTTAGTACCATCATCGGGGCCTTAGCATAATAAACATCTCTATTGATCCATTCCCTCACTAGACTCTATCGATAGATAGATAGATAGATAGATAGATAGATAGAGTCTAGTGAGGGAAGAAATATGTATGTATGTATGTATATATGTGTGTGGATGGATGGATGGATGGATGGATGGATGGGGCATCTCTAAGCATAATGAGATAATAACACACCTAGTAATCTTGCTAGTAGATAAACCAAATGGTGCTAAGAGAAACCAAACGGCATCAGTCCTTTTTGAGGCAAATCAATTAGATTTAACAGCTCATTACTGAAAACAAGAAAAAATATTATGTTTGTGGAATCTGTTCAGAGTTTAATTGTTCAGTGTCATTAATTCTTCTGCCAAGGGTAGGTGTCTCTACTACAAATTATTTTTATTATTATTAAACTATTCATTGAGGTAGCTCAAATGGAAAGCTGAACTAATTGTAAACAGATGAATACTAATGTTACTTTGATCAAAATAAAGCTGAGTGACGGAGTGCTGGCACTTTTAGCTGGGACTTAACTCTACTATCCTTTTTTTAATTCATGGGATAAATTAATTCTGAAGCTGAATGGCTATGTGTTACAACGACCTTTATTCAATAAAGGTATCTGAGGAAAATATACAGAAAAGAGCCCGGGTATATGATTAGAATTAGACTAGGCAGGCCCAGAATTAAGGCCTCCTACTTCCTGGGCATCTGAACTCATTCTAGGTTATTATCTAAAAAGTTGGCTCCCCTCTCCCCACGTCTGAGCATGGATGTCACTATTGGTGCTTTGCTTTGCACTGCCCTCTATATTGGTGTTGTGTGAGTTAGGGGTCCTGGTCAGGTACGCACCTGCCCTCTTGATGTTCTGGATCCCAAGATGATGAGTGTACAGCCCTGTTTAAATGCTGAGGAGAAGGAGCAGAAGGCTGGACCCTTCCCCACGCCTGGCATTTTCTTGCGGCTAAATCTCAACACTTCAAGGAAGAGCAGCTGGACACTTTGGATCTCCCTTGGAAGCTGACCAGTTCCCTTCACGGACTGCATGGGGACCCACAGTGGTCCCTGAACTTGCCATTTCTATTGTTATTTAGAACTGGTTAGTATGCCTAAGCCCAAGCACTTCATCTAGTATCATCAGGACATATATCTCTCCCCAGCATTAAACCTACCAATACAGGAGTTATGTGTTTTTTCTTGGCTGGTGCTAATTGGTGTAGCTCCACTCAGGCCAATGAGTCTGTAATGAAGTCAGTGAAATCCAACAGAGAGAGCATGGATCTAAGAAACACAACTATATGTGACTTTGGGCAACTATCTTAGTCTCTCTCTGTCTCCATTTTGCCCTGCTTAATAACTGGGAAAGAATATGTCTCAGCATTAGGGGCAACAAGTGGGAACATAAGGAAAAACATTTTAAAAATGCAACATGCCTCCCTGCAATATCTTTTTCCTAGGGAAACACATAAAGGCACGTGATAAGATGCAAACATGAGACATAAGAACAAGCACTGCTACGAAATGGGCTACAGTATCTCTTCATATATCCTGCAATATTTTGACTTTAAAAAATTGGCAATAGCCTACACATCCTTGCCACAAACCACACAGACATGCAGTCAGCGGGAATACTAGACAGACATTCTGTTTTTCATCTTTTAAAAAACAAATGGACATTATCCTAAATTCACAATCCAGAGGTCAGAAAAAGAGACTGTCAAGCATGGAACGGGAGAAAGATTGACCAAAATTAGACACTCTAACCCAAATGTGGAACAATGGAAATTGGATCAGAAAATGTTTAGAAAAACCCTCATTCTGGCTTTTGCCTCCACAAAAAAAAAAAAAAAAAAGCAAAAGCCAAACCAACTTCACATGTATAAGTGAATTAGCTTTATGGTCAGACACCGAAC